CTACTCTGCTAAAAGTGTCAATTAAGTCAAGAAGTCTTTTGGTGTTTTTGGGGTCTTCAGAGTAGAGTATCATATTGTCAGCAGATAATTCCTTTCCTATCTTTATTGCTTTAATTTCTTTCTCTTGTCTAATTGCTATGGCTAATGTTTCCAGAATTATACCGAAGAGGAGTGGTGATACTGGGCATCCTTGTCTTGTTCCTGATTTTAACGTGAAGGTTTTCAATTTTTGGCTATTTAATATGTTGGCTGTTGGTTTTTCATAGATAGCCTTTATAAAGTAGAGATATAGACCATCTATTCCAACTTTTTGCAGGGTTTTTATCATGAATGGGTATTGAATTTTGTCAAATGCTTTTTCTGCATCTATCAAGTATTTCTTAAGGACTCAAGGATTATATGGGACCCACCTGATAATCCAGAACAGTCTCCCCTGTTTCAGAATCTTTGATCTTGATTGTGTCTACAGAGTCCCTTCTTGCTGTGTTGACCAACATAAACGCAGATTCCAGGGATTTAGGACATGAACCTGTTTTCAAGGCTATTCATTATTTTGCATATCACAAGGTTCCCTTTTTTTCTTTTTAGTTATTTTAATATGTGGAGGCTGAGATGATATAGGTTCATGGTCATGCTACTTGTCCGATGTGCAGCTTACTCTGAGAGTTGAGTTCTTCTGGAACCTTCAGGTCTATATGGGGTGAATCAGAGACTGAGGACTGACTCAGGCCTCAGTGTCATCTCAGAAAAGCAGATAAAGGTACATGTAGTCTAAGAGCCAGAACAATTTACATGAATAGGATTTCTAAATACTATTTGCAGAAATGTGCATAGTTGGAGTAGGCTTATAGTGCACTAAGAAAACTGTATTTTTTAGTTTTTGTAGCTCATGTGTTGACATTTGACAGGCTAGAGTTTTAGTGGCATATGATGTTTGTCTTAGCCAGAATCTTCTCTGGTTCTTACAAACTTTTTCTTTTTTTGGTACCGGGGGTTAAACTTAGGACCTTGTGCTTGTGAGGCAGGCGGCAGAACCACTGAGCTAAATCCCTGGCCCTAAGAAGTCTGGCTCTTAAAATTGGTTTGGGAAGGGCCAGGGATTTAGCTCAGTGCTTCGGTGGCCTGCCTTGCAAGCGCAAGGACCTGAGTTCAATCCCCGGTACCAAAAAAAAAAAAAAATTGGTTTGGGAAGGGCCAGGGATTTAGCTCAGTGCTTCGGTGGCCTGCCTTGCAAGCGCAAGGACCTGAGTTCAATCCCCGGTACCAAAAAAAAAAAAAAATTGGTTTGGGAAGTGATTCTTGTTTTCATGGGTCAATTTCAAATTTAAATTGGTCTTAGAAACTACTATTGAATCAAACATGTTTTTAATATGGCCAATATTTTACATCACATGTAAAGTTAGGTTAATATATGGCCCCATTTGGTGTCAAATAAATTAAGGACCATTATCTAATTTCATTTTTTCTCATACATTACTTGGGCCTTTCTTTGCAAATTAAAATTGCTCTTACAAATAATGACCTTTTCTGTTACAGTACAAAGTTATAATCTGCAGAAGCAAGTTAGATTTTTTCATAAATGGTGGTAAATATAATTAAGGATTATTGCTTGGATTTTTGTATACCAGTAAGTTAAGTTTCAGCACTACTTTTAATTAACCTTGACAGATCCATCTGTCCTCAAAATATCTATGATATCAAATTTGACAAACCTAAACTTCATAGTAGGTTAATAGGTCAATAGGTTTTTGGGTTAGAGAAAAAAAATTGTAGTTTCACTCTTTTTATCACCCAGTTCTTGAGTTAACCATTTTAATTAGTATAAAGAATTAGAAGAAATTAGAAGTTTTCCTTTTAAATTATGTGAGCAGTACACAGGAAAATAGTCTGTTATGTTTTTGTTTTCTGGCACAGATAACATATATTTTATTAGCCTTCTTACATAGAGCCAGAGCTTTTAGTACTAGAAAGTTGAAAGCAAAAAGTATTTAGGTTTCTGATTATAAAAGTAATGCCTGTTCATTGGAGAAGTTTTAGAAACTACTGAAGAAAAAGTAAAAACATTATCCACAAAATAACTCAAGAACAACCACTCTTGATACTGTGGGCACTTTAAGGTTTATTTATTTATGGTACCGGGTATTGAACTCAAGGCCTTCAGTGTAAGTTCTGTCCCCAGCCAAACAGATGTACGTGCGTGCACACCCACACATACCCATACTTACATACCCATACCCACACACCTTATTTAAAATTTTGAGACAAGGCCTTCCTAGGTTTCCCAGGCTGGGCTTGAACTTTCCATTCTCCTGCCTCCACCTCCCAGAGTGCTGAGTTGATAGGTATGTGCTACCATGCCCAATTAGGTTTATGTTTTGACACCTCGTTACTACTAGTGGACATTTATATTCTTTCTAGTGTTACTATTTTAAGTATTATTGCAATGAATGTATGATTTAGAATGCATCTCTGGTTATTGCTCAAAAGGAAGCTACTAAATCAAAGGGCATAGATACTTTTAAGCTATTGATGTATCTTACCATGCTTTTTTTTTTTTTTTCTTCAAGAGAGGGCAGCTCCTTCTTATTTACTCTTTTAATGAACTTTTTTTTGGGTACTGGGGATGGAATTTGGGACCTTGTTCTTGCAAGGCAGGCATAGTACCTCTGAGCTAAATCCCCGGCCCTGGTGAATATTTTTAAACCATAAAATGGTGTTGAATTTTGTGAAATGCTTTTTCTGCTTCAATTGAGATCATTGTATAATTTTGTTTTTTCTGATTACTGTAGTATATCCATTGATTGATTGTGTATATTGAACCATCATTCTTGCATCATAGAATACAAGAATGGGACAAATCTCACTTGATCATAGTGTATGGTCCTTTTAATATGTTGGGTTTGTTCTGCTGCTTTAGTTGAGGACTTGTTATCAATATTCATTAGAGATTTTAGGTTGTAGTTTTTTTGTAGTAGTGATGGAGAACCTTTCAGAGCTTTCAGTGATACAGATAGCCTGCTGGAGCACATGTATCATATAGGTCCATCACCATTGCGCTATAGTGTCTGGTGTTGCTATCAGGATAGTGCTGGCCTTACAGAGTGAACTTGTAAGTTTCATGTTCAGCTTTTTGGAAAAGTCTGAGGAGGTTGGCGTTACTTATTCATTGTTTGATAATCAGTGAAGCCATTTGGTCCTTGGCTTTTCTTTGTGGAGAAGTTACAAGTTAGAGATCTGTTCATATTTTCTGTTTCTTCATTATTCAGTCTCAGTAGGTTATCTATTTTGAGAAATTTGTCCATGCTAGGTTATTCACCTTTTTGATGTATAATTTTTATAGTAGTCTTCTGTAATCCTTTCTCTTTCTGTGGCTTTAGTTATGTTTCTTTTGCATTTCTGATATGATTTGAATCTTTTTGTTTTTGCTAATTTTGTTGAACTTTAAAAAAAAATCTTAGTTGTGCTAATTTTATTTTTCTCTGTTCTGATCTTTATTTTTTCCATTCTTCTTCTGACTGTTGTCTTAATTTGTTGTTATTTTCCTAATTCCTTGAGGCACAAAATTAAGTTGTGTAAGATTTTTCTTAATTTTTAATATAGACATTAAGTACTATGAAATTCCCTCACAATACTGGTTTTGCTGCATCTCATAAATTTTGATATATTGTGTTTTATTTGTCTCAAAATACTTTCTAATTTCCCTTTTGATTTTTTCCTTGACAGTGGTTGTTTAAGAATGTATCAGTGGGCCAGGGATTTAGCTTAGTGGTTCTGCTGCCAGCCTCACAGGCACAAGGTCCTGAGTTTGATCCCCAGTACCAAATAAATAAATAAATAAGTGTTATTAATTTTCATGTGTTTATGAATTTTCAAGTTTTTCTTCTATCTTGTTTACTGTTTTTATTCCATTGCAGTCAGCAAAAAACTTGGTGTAATTTGAATCTTCTTAAACTTGTTAAAATTTGTTTTGTGAACTAACATGTGATCTAGATTATGTTCTCTGTGTAATTAAAAAGAATGTGTATCAGGCTGCTATTGGATAGGATGTTCTGTATATGTCTGCAATGTGTTCAAGTTTGTACTTTATTAATGTTTTGCCATCTGTAAGTTGTTGAAGGGTGGGGTATTAAAATCACTTGTGTGATTCTCTTTTCAGTTATGTTGACATTGCTTATTATGTGTGAGTTCTCTGATGTTAATGTATGTACATTTACAATTGTTGTAACTTACAAATGAATTTTATATATAATATCCTACCTAGTCTCTTATAACAGGTTTGACTTAGTCTATTTTGTCTTACTGTCACTAATGTCTTCCTTTTTTAACCATTTTCATGGAATTTTTTTTTTCTGTTTTTTTACTTTGAGCCTACAATGAGTCTCTTCTAGGTAGCGTATAGCTGGGATTTTAAAAATCCATTCAACCACTCAGTGTCTTGGGGAGGTTAATTCACTTACATTTAAATTAGTTGCCGAAAGGGAATGTCTTGTTTTCTGTCTTGTAGCTGTCTTGTCCTTCGTTTCCTTTCTTCCTCTGTTGTCTTCCTTTACATTTTGTTGTGTTTTTTTGGTATTATCTTTTCATTCTTTTCTCATTTTCTTTTGTATATCCTGTTTTCTTTGTGATTGCCGTGGGCTTAAGTTGATACCTTCAATTGCATATGAAAACTCTGCCTTTATTCTTCCCCCAGTTTTATGGTGTTGATGTCACAAATTACATTCATCTATGTCATATATTTTTTAACATACTTTTGTAATTTTAAAAATATTTTTGTCTTTTAAATTATATACTAGAATAAAAGTGAATTAATTTATTCATGATTTTAAAGTTATTTTATTTTCTCTCAAAAGCAATTTATAGAATTTCAAATTTGTTAGGCATTTTTGTGACAGCTCTGAATTTTCTTTAAAATTTTATAAAAGTTAGATAAAAGTATCTTTTTAATAATAAAATTTTATATAAGTCAGATAAATCTAACATTATCTTTCTTGTTTAAACAGAATTCTGAGATTGATGGTTGGTCATATAGAAGAAGCCCTTGAACCTGTAGTTTTCGGAAAAATCAATTCAACAGACCCAAAAAAGTACAAAGGTAAAGATAGGTGCATTTCAGAGGGCACCATAGAATGAGATTGTTCCAAAATATTGTACAAGAGAACCTATGAAATATTTTGATGCACTAACTTGAGGAATGTTTTAAAATTTTTTTCTTTTGTGTTAATTTATTCCTAAACATTTGTTGTGCAACAGTTATGTCTAGGATATTACTTTAGCTCATTGGTATATAGTGATGAACAAGACAGAAGCCATCCCTGCTCTCATGAGGATTGTTTTCTAGAGGAAGATAAATAATAAACAAATGAGAAATTTGTGGTTAGTATTGTACAGGGAATTAAAATGAATAATGTGATAGAGACTGGTGATTGCTTTTCATTAGGTATTTAGAGAAGGCTTATTCAAAAAGAGTCGTTATATTTAAGCGTGAAATGGCAAGAAGGTGTTAGACATGTGCAGATCTGACAAAAGAATAAGTGTTTTATTCATAGCCATGTTTCCTGGCAGTGGAACAAGAGTGGTTATGGTATTCTTGAGGAACAGAGAGAGAATGTGACTGCAATATAGTAAGTAATGGGGAAAGTATATTAGTCAGTTCTTACAAGAGTCAGATGTAGAAGAATGCAAGAGATCTGTCTGCGCTACAGACCTGAAGAATCCAACCAAGGTCCTGGTTGACGCAGCAGTGTCTGCACGAGTCCAGCAAAAGGTCAAGAGCCCATGAAAATGTCTTCCATGAGTCCAGCTGGAGGCCTAGTTCCCATGGCAATGTCTCATGCAAGTCCACATCAAGGATATACACCAGGAAGGCCTAAAGGCCCAGTGGTGGAAGGAAGTTTTTACCAGCAGCGTGAAGGATCTGCCAGAAGTCCGAGGAATCTTCACTGGAGCCAGGAGATCAAGCAGAAGATCAAAGCTCTCCCAAGAGAACTGCATCCACCTCTGGCAACAATGAGGACCTGAGCTCCACCGATGACAAGAAAACTGAGTTTGTATTAGGAAAATCAACAGCATACAACCTTCCCCTCCCGTTCTCCCTTTATGCCATCCGACAGTAATCTTCAGGTGGGTCTTCGATGCCCAGAGCCACACTGAGTTCAAGTGGGTTTTCCCACTTAACTTTACCATTAGTTAATTCACTACAGAAAGATAATATATGGAGGTCAGATTGGAAAAGAAAATTGAGATGCATATTTACTGAAGAGAGTCAAATATTCTGATTTGGCTATGGTACTTAGAACACTTTCAAAAATTATAGAAATGTCACAAAGGTAGTGTGGATATATGACTGCAGTTGAAAAATCTGCTCTAAGATCATGAATTTGAGCGCCACTGTCAAATAAAGTACTCAGTCAAATTTCTGGATTAAATTGTCTCATGTATACAGAAATTGATATGGCCCTTGCAATGCCGATATTAATCATAAAATAAGCAGCCAGTAAGATATGTAGAAAAATGTTCTATTACAGAAACCAAGAGGAGAATATATTTAACAAATAGCAATCATCTACAGTGCTTCTAAGAGCTCAAAAAGAGAATACAGTAAAGTAGTCATTAGATATGAATGTTTTTGATTGTTGAAAGCAAAAAAATCTCAGTGAAGTGGTAGGAATGAAAGTCTTAAGACTGATGAGTAATGAGGCACTTCTAGTTAGATATGGCAAACAGTAAAATTAAATTTCATTTTTTTGGAAACGCCATTAAAGCATTTAGCTATAAATAAAAGGAGTACTGCAAATGATGCACCCTCACAAAGACATCTGAAACTGAATCATTCTCACAATCTGTAGCTTGGGCAAGTGTTGACTGTAGCTAGTGCTTCTGGATTAAAATCATTAGTCGTAAGGTAGTCCCTAGCCAAAGTGTTTTGGTTATTCTTTTATTTCCACATTGTTTCATTAATTTGATACCTTTTAGAGAGGTTTGCTCTGAGGGTACTCAGTCTGACCTACATATAGTATGTCACTTGTTTCACCTTTCTTTTAAAGCATGTCTAATAATTGACTAGAAAAGTAGAAAAATGATTGGAGCTGGACTGTGAGAGATAATGTTAAGTTGTTCTGTTAAATGGACCAAAAATAATTTTTGAACTATTTTTTAACAGCAGCAAACCAGCCTAATAATCTGTCTCTTAAATTATTTTGGATTTACTCTTTTTATGGTCAGTCAATAAAGCCTTTCCTATATAATATAAACCTTAGTTCTTGGGGAAGGGCATCTTAGTCACTTTGTCACTGCTGGGACAAAATACTCAATACCTACAATTTAAAGTAGGAAAGGTTTATTTTGGGTCATGTTTTTTGAAGGAATCAGTCCACACATAGTCAGCTGGCTCCAAGACATAAAAGGCATGGTAGAATGGCCTAACCAGAAGAAAGTTGCTCCTTCCATGGAAGCCAGGGAAGCAGAGAAGGTGGATCCTGGGACAGAGATACAAACTTTCATCTCATAGTCCCCCTTTCTGACTAGACCCCATGTTCTAACAGCACACATTCAGGTATGAATTCATCAATGGATGAGCACCCACTGATCAGCACCCGCATAATCCATTTACTTTCCAAAATCCCTCTTTGGAACACATGATCCTTTGGGGGAATTTTTTTTTCTTTTTATTGAGTTTATTAGTACAATCTAGGTATACAATACAGTTGCATTCATTATTGGGACCCTGTACCTTTACAAAATAGGTATTGATTCTCATTTTTTCCCCTTGTCCCTGCCCTCCCTACACCCCCTCCTTCCCTCCCCATTTACAAACACTTTATTTCCATTTTTTTCAATTTCTCATATTTTTTCCTCTTCCTTATTACCTTTCTGGGGGAATATTTTTAATCTAAACCATAAGGGGGCAGTGTTTTGTTGTATTTTGTCCAACTTTCTACATTGATTGATTAGATTGTAAGGGAGGGGGTATCAAACTCAGGACCTTGCATTTGTGAGGCAGGTATGGCGCCATTGATCTAAATCCTGGACCCCAACTTTCTACCTTTAGAAAATCAAAGTTACATGTTGATAGCTTATATTCATTTTAAGGTGTCACATTAGCTCATATCTGGCCTTAAAACTTTAAACTAAAGCTATTCTTTTTTAATTTACCTGAACTGGCTCTGTTATCTTCATACCATTTTGTATGTTTTTTTCCTAGTGATAGAAACTACGATATTAGTGTGTTTCTTTTAGACTGAAGAAGTATACTTAGATGATCTTTAAATTTTCATGTTGTTCTAAAATTCTATAGTTCTGTGTTCCACAACGGCTCTTACCACAGATACTTAAATCATTGTATTTTTTCATAGTCTTAGTCCTTTTAATTCTTATCTTTGACTCCCCTGATCATTTTAAGAATTCTTAATCCTTCACTATCCCATTTTCTGCGGCTATAACTACAAGTTTATTCTTCTTCTAGTGAAGATTATTCTCTATTCGCCTTACAGAAATGAATTTGAAAAGAGTGGTGAAATATTTTAGAATCCTATGGTCTTAAAACACTTTTAATCTTCCCTGCTTTAGAGCTACATGTTGATTTACATTATTTTCTTTTTTTAAAATTTAAATTGAATTTGTTGGTACATTCTAGGTAGACAGTACAGTTACATTCATTTCTGGGATCTTGTACCTTTACATGCCATGTCTTGGTTCTCATTTTTTCTCCTTGTCACAACCCTCCCTTCACCCCTCCTCCCCTCCCCACCTTCAAACACTTTAATTCCATTTATACATTTTCTCATATTATTTTCCTTTTCCCTTATTCCCCTTTCCCTATCCTTCTCACTGTCCCTACGCTGTTGGTCCTTTTGTTCCTATTTCACGCTGCTAATTGTCCCGTTAGGATCTTGAGTACTACTTTAGTTTTTCACACCAGAGAAACTATTCGGTATTTGCATATGTGTGACTTATTTATTTGACTTAGGAGTATATCCTCAAAATGTATCCATTTTCCGATGAATGACTCTAATTTCTCATTATTTATGGCTGAGTAGTATTCCATTTTATAGAAAAAACAAATCTTCTTTATCCAGTTTCCAACTGATGGGCAGATGGGCTGTTTCCAAGTTTTAGCTATTACAAACTGTGCTGCTATAAGCATGGGTGCATATATATCACTGTGGTATGATTCTTTTAATTCTTTTGACAAGATTCCCAACAGAGGGATGGCTGGGTCAAATGGAGCCTCTAGTCCCAGCTCTTTAAGGTATTTCCATATTGACTTCCATAGTGGTTGCACCAATCTGCACTCCCACCAACAGTGGAGAAGGATTCCTTTCTCCCCACAACCCCACCAACATTTATTATTGGTTGATTTCTTGATAGCAGCCATTCTTTGTGGGGTGAAGTAGAATCTCAGTGTTGTTTTCTTCTGCATCTCTTGAATGACCAGTGATGTGGAGCATTTTTTCATATATTTACTTGCAGCTTTTATTTCTCTGTCTGAGAAATTTCTGTTCATTTCAGATGCCCATTTTTGAATCTGGTATTTATATTTGGGGGGGCTGATTGTTTTGAGTTATTTACATATTCTAGATAATAGTCCTTTGTCTGAGGAGCAGCTGGTAAAAAGTTTTTCCCACGTTGTAGGTCGTCTCTTAGTTCTGTTGATGGTTTCATTTGCAATGCAGAAACTTTTTAATAAGATGAGATCCCAGTTGTTGATTCTTTCTGCTAGTTCCTGTGCTACTGAAGATTTGTTCATAAAGTCTTTTCCTATGCCAATGTCTTCCAGAGTTCTGCCTAACTTATCTTCCAGCAAGTTTAGTGTTTCTTTTTTTATATTTAGATCTTTAATCCACTTGGATTTTAGTTTAGTGCATGTGACAGACAAGGGTCTAGTTTTAATCTTTTGCAGGTTGAGATCCAGCTTTTCCAACACCATTTATTAAAGAGGCTATCTTTCCTCCAGTGGGGACTGTCAGCTCCTTTGTCAAAGATGAGGTAACTGAGTGCATCTGGAGTTGTTTTTGTGTCTTCCAATCTGTTCCAGTGATCCTCAGGTCTGTTTCTTTGCCAGTACCATGCTGTTTTTTATCACAGTGGCTCTGT